GATGATTTGGGCAACAAAAGGGGCCCCTAAATCAAATTCAGCTCAAGGCCTCATACAGCCTTGGACCGGCCCTGCATGATGAGGTAATCCACTGCACTACGCAGAAATGCGCAACAAACAGGAGATTTAATTCAATGCGGCTAATGTGGCTTTAGTAGCTGTTCCATTTCGTGTCTGTTGAGTTTTTAATAAGCGTCACAGAAACTATTCTGGTTGATCGACTTTATGGGACGAGTTTCTCAGATCTCCGCGCGCATTATCTCTAAGTAACGACACATTTGATATGGTTTGATGCATGGTGTAACCGGAAAAATAATACTAAAATAATAATAAAATAATATAAAATCAGCGTGATGCGTGACTCCGAGGAGAGCGTTAAAGCTCCTCACCGGGCTGAACCTGCATGATCAGGTTAGCGCTGCTCGTTATCCACAAACGCTCCGGCCAACCGGGACCACAGACATAAACTTTACAGGGAAGACAGACACAGAGCCACACGCCGGGCAGCGTGTTGAGATGTAAACGCCACATGTAATTGTTCGTTCACAAAGATAAATCATTCTCACCGCTCCACAACGCGCCTCTGAATTCGCTACAAGTTATTCCTGCTGTTCACATTGAGCTGCCCAACCAGAGCTAACGCGGCGGGTTTTAAACTCTTACCCAGAGTTTCTCCAAAGGATCATAATTCCTCACAGTAAGTTTATGTAAATATCCAAACAGGTCAGCCTGTGTGACAATGTCTTTTGGTGTTGTATCCCTCCCCCCATGATTTTGTTGCGGTCTTCTGAGCGGGGCCGTAACACAAGGTTAAAAACATTTTTGTTTAGAGATGATTATTTAGAATAATAAATTAAACATCACTAATTTTAGGCCACACTAAAAATTGTGTTTATTTTTTCCTTATTGCATCACTGCATTCTATCTATTCTCCATTTTATGTTTTCATCATGTAAAGGACTTTGAATTGTTGCTGAATTGTGCTATACAAGTAAATTTGGCTTGCAGAGAGATTTCTCAGATGATACAAGAAAATTAAAGCTCAATTTTACATGTGACATAAAAACAATTCCTGTTACAGCCCATGTTAAGAAACTATAACTTCCTGCAGAGGGAATAAAAATGTGGGAAATGCTTTTGGGTAGCATTGTTACTTTTTAATCCTCAAAAACTGTAAAATACATATAGAGTCACTTACATTTAAGAGGATTTTTGGCATTGTTGACATTGACTGTAGAAGAGCTGTCTTCATCCATGTTGTTCTCCATCCTTTACGGGAAAAATAAAGATTTAGATATTATAAAATGTCCAACAGCTGCTTGAGTGATCTCAGCTGTAGCTCATGGAAAGCAGGCGGGTTCTTCTTCCTCTTTTTAAAAGTGGTCAGGGTGTGATGCAGCATCTCCATCGCTGCTCTGTGGTTCATTTCCTTACTCTAACAGTTTTAGGAAACAAGTCTGCTTCTGTAACAAACCTTTCATGCCAAGAAGCTAGCTCTCACTCTGTCTCATAAACAGTTCTGCAACTCTCCTGTCCTTGGTTATAAAATATACCTATTCACTCCACTGTTTACATCATTATTGTTTAGTTTGTGTCAGTGAAAATGGTTATTTTATTTGAAAGGTTACATAAACGCTTATGTGTATTTACTAATTTAAAACCTTGTCAGCTCTGCAGCATTCCTCCCACTGGGCATCTCTTCTTGAAATCCCAGAAAAATCCCAATCAGGCTATAAAAATCAGATCAGCTCTCTCTTCTTCTGTTGCCTCAGAAAAATGGCAACGCGTTTCTGTTGTAAAGTTATGAAGCAGCACATGGAGTAGGACGTCTGGAGGTGGGGCTCAATGCCCTCCACCGCCACTAGGTGTCCCCCTGCTACATGCCCAGCAGGGTCTGTGAAAACCCGATCACTTCGGAGGAGAGCGGAGCGAGGCCGGGTAGAGTACAGCGGGACTGCCGAAGTAGAGCCAGGGGGAAAGGCGCATAAGTTGTTGACCTGCTCTGCTCATCGTTACTGTTACAGTCCGCAATTTTCGCTGTTACTATTCACAGCAGCAGCTCTGCTATCTCAGTGTCCTCAACCTCCTCAATTCTCCTCTCTGTAGTGCGTTATTACGCTTTCAGGAGGCTGAGTCTGGTTCTGCTTTGTCAGAGCGGATGCTTCACGGTTGTGATCTGGACGGAACCAGCGAGGCACAGACTACATCCTGCTTTGCCTTTAACCCCACAGAAATAGCCTTACATGACAAACCCTATTGGAAACAGCAATGCGCCTCACTGGTTCCTAAATGGATGGAGAAATAATCAATCTGGGAGCTGATTGTCCGCTCTGACCGGTATTTATACAGACCGGAAGGGCCTCCATTCAGCAGGTGGACGGGGACTGAAGTTTTTCACTGCTGCGCTGGGCACAAGGGTAAACCCACTAGCAACAGCCTTAATTTGGGGTTAATACATAAGCAACTGATTTTACTGTTGAATATTGATATAATAGTGTAACTGTTGTTAGTCATTTCCATGGCAACGGGTTTACGTAGCGAAGCAAACACAGGGACCGAGGAAAATGAACCAGTGGTTTGGAGCTGTTGTTCAACGGTTTTTCTGCGTTATTTTCCATTTGCTGTGGCGAACTGCACTAAGTTAATGATATCTACATCTCCAGGTTTCATTTTGTTAACTGAATTGTTTTGAAGCGGAACCGGCAGGTAAACGGTTGTCTTTTTGTTCTCCAGTTGTGCGCATGCCCGAAATTAAACAACAACATGCAACGTGTTTATAGTAACGATAGTTAGCATTTAAGCTAGCGGAAAAAAACAGTCACTTCTAACACACAAAAATATATTAAAATAGAATCTTTGTCAATAAAACACTGTCCTGAACTTACAAACACTTTTAAACATGAGACATATCTGTTACTTGTGCTCTTAACCCACCTGTGAAAACAGATATCAATATTTAGTAATGGCGTCGCTTCTTCTTCTTCTTCTTCTTCTTCTCCTCCTTCTCTTTCTTTGATGGTTATTGGCGGTTGGCAAACAACGAAATTGGTGCATTACCGCCACCGACTGGTATTAAATGTGTAACAGAATGACACTAAACGATTATATTTCTGTTTTCATTTAACGAAATATTACCCGATTAATTTTACTTTTCAAGTTATTAATGAACAAATAAATAAACTATAGATTTACTTTAATTCTACTTAAATCAACTTATCTTTTTTCATCATAATTATGACAGTGTAATATGTTCCATTGTCTCAACATCCCCAGTGTTTCTCTGAAACAAAGGGTGCAGTGTAGCCCAGTATATGGAGTTAGATTTGTTTCACAATTATTCAAAAAAAAAAAAAAATCTTCTGAGACGGACTGGCGACCTATCCAGGGGGTATCCCGCCTGTCGCCTGGAACGTTAACTGGTGAGGCACCAGCACCCCTCCCGACCCCACTAAGGGACAAGGGTGTAAAGAAAATGGATGGATGGAAGGTAAAAAAAAAAAAAAGTCAAACAAAAAATTCTTAAAAACTTTTTAACCATAAAAATAATTTTCACAAAACAAAAATTTTAATTGACAAACATTTCTGATTTTAAAAAAATGTGGCTGATCTTCTTACAGAGTTGAAGTGCATTAACAATCTGTTGTTTTTAATTTCTCAATACGTTTAATTATGATTTATCTGATGTCCAAGTTATACTGAGAAAAAATAAAGCCATATTCCTTGTAATCTGACTGGTTCTAGTTTTAATCAAACCTTCCATGTTTTCATATTTTGGTCACTAAGAATTGTTCGGGGGCTCAAAAAGTTTAAATTCAACCTTGTTTATCACTAATTAAGGTTACAAGTTTTGGACACATTTTCTCACTTTCTTACATTGAAAATTCTCCTGGAAGACAGACAAACAGTGAGTGGACAGAATGATGTACAAAGTAGAAATGAACAAACATGACTTCTATTTTGGGTTCTTGGTAATAGCAACCCTGATAATAATGTCAAAATGTTTGGTTTGCTGAATAATGTATGTTCACTTTTGGATACCTTCACTGGTAATCTACAAGAAAATATATATATAAGATAATATTTTCATTCTGTCTAAAGTTTCTCACATTTTGGGAGGATTGTATTAGGACCTTGATGTCATATAAACTACAGTATGTACAATAATATGA